TGTGAATAAAAGTTGTCTCGTGAATCTCATCAGAGTTGTCTACTGGAGGTTAATCCTTCAAAATTTTTAGTTACGTTTTATTTTATTTATTTATTCCGTTATTTGAACTTTTTTTAAATGAACATTTCTGTATCCCTAATGGATATTCTGATTTACTGTGTAATGAATGAAAACTCTAAATTCTTAATTGCTTCCGTTATTTTTTTCCTAATACAATATATATATTTATTTTTGGAAAGTTTTGTGCATTTAAAAGTTATAAATAATTATTGATTCATTGAAAATAGTAAAATAATATAATCAAATCATATGATTTTATTTTTCAATCTTTCTTATTTATTCATACAAAACTAGCGTCCAAAAAAATTGAAAATTGATATCAGATTTTTCAAAAAGAAATTGAATAGATTTGACAAATATATATTTTTTTTTAATTTATGTAACTAAAAATTTAAAAATATATATATATATATATATATATATATATAAGGAATTATTTGTTAATAGGTGGCATTATAAGTTAAACAATAAGAATAAAATATTTTCAAGTATTTAATTCTCCATCATATTTTCTTAATTTTGCAAAATAGAAAAATCAGGCTTGAAAAAAAAAGAGATATTACACTCGTCAATAATTTCTTTTTTCTTTTTCTTATTTTGGGTCCAAAAAAGCGGAAGGAATATGTGTTTTCTACTTTGTCTTTTATATATTTATAATTTTATTTTTAAATGAATAATTACGTTTTAGAATGACGATAACAGATTTTTTTATTAAAAAATTTAAAATGTAAATCTTAATAATAATAATAAATATATAATAATAAAGAAGAAGAACAGTTGCAATTGATGTCGTCAGCAATTCACCGAGTAGTTTTCTCGTATTGTCTGTCTATCACTCTGATGCTTATCCATTTTATATTTATTATATTTGTCTCCCGGTGGACCCCACCTCTCCCTATTGATTATATTTACACCTCAATCAGATCTTTAACGTGAATAAACTATATGTAAAAATAATTATAACATTACATAAATAAATAAATATATTTTTGTTAATAATATAATGCATATATATTTACATTTTGAAAAGAAACACGGGCTGTAAATAATTGTGAGACGCGACATATCATGAAACCATCAACATGCCTCTTTTAATATATTAAATAGTTTTCAAAGGTTTTTATATTTATTAATTACGTTTTACCTAACCATGCAATTATTAATGTATTAACAAAATATAAACCTAATTAATTTGGAACCCATTTTATTTTATTTGTTAAATTAGATTGACGGTTGAATTAATTAATTAATGTGTCGGTTTCTTAGTGATTTATTAATTAAAAAGAATACGTGTTAACTAATAAAATAAAAAAAAGGAATTACTTTAAAATATATTATGTGCCAATCATCTTCAATTAATTAATACTAAATTTTTAATTTTCTATAATTATAAACTGAATTAGAAAAACGTAGCAGAGGGGACAAACTTTTGTAATCATACTTTGCGGAAAACCAAGTGCATATCTCTCATATATATATATATATTAAAATACTATTCTAGATCAGTTATATATTTTTCATAATTTATTTATATAAAATTACTGTGTACATATAAATAAACATGAAATAACATTATATTGGATGGGTAAAGGGGAAGGCTGCATGATGATGTGTTTGCTAGTTGAGTAAATCAAGTGGTGTGATATGCACACAGATAAGCTATGTACAAATATTTATTTATTTTATATAATTAATTTTGGATAATAAGATGTGTATTAATTAATTATATATATAATAAAGGTGGAATCCCATACCCTGAAGGCACCAGCACAGTGTAAGTGTATTTGCAGAGGTGGATTCTCTCTCTTTTCCCCACCACCACCAACCTTTAACTAACCAACTGTATTCTTTATATTATTTTAATGGTAGATTCGGTTACCTACCTCCCAGACATCTCACATGCTGCTACTCTCTCCAATTTATATAACTTGAATGATATTTTATTTATTTATTTCAAAGTTTGGAGTTTGGTGTAGAAGAAGAAGAAGAAGAAGAAGAGGGGGGCCCATTCTTAATGGGGTCCACCTTAACATACCGTACACGTCGTTTTTTTTTTTTTTTTTTTTTTTTAACTACAAATAATTAATGCCAACCGTCCGATGACAAGGGGGTTCGGTAGCCTTTTTTTTTTTTATTTCTTTCTCTTACATAACAAAAATAATAATAATTTATAATTTAAATAAGAAAACAAACAAATATTATTCTTTATTTGTGGTTCTAGAAGCCTTTTTGCAACTAAACCATCTGAGGAAAACCTCCTCCTTCTGGAAGCACTACCAAATATAATTATAATTATAATTATATATCTTTTTTGAATGCAAACATATAATAAAATCATAGTAGTAAAAACTTAATTAATTTGGATTTAAATCAGATTGGATGTGTAGGTTATTTTAGAATTGAGTGTGGGAAAGAAGAAGAAGAAAAACCATTAAAAATAAGATAATAAACTGTGGGAAGAAAAGTTGTTTGTTGGTTTGGCATAAAAATAAAAAAAAGAGTCACAAGGAATTAGGGTTGGCAGGCAGGCAGGCATTAGCATCTCTCTCAACTAAAAATTTACCCATTTTAGCTCATAGGCTGTTTCTTCCCACCCCATTTATATCATACCTACCCTCCTCTTCTTCTACTTTTAATAACAATACAAGTTTATTTTATTTTATTTTTTATTTAAATGGTTGATACGGATATGACTCGGATTCTTTAACAGTCGATTAATCCATACATACATATAACAACTCGATCCATCCATAAAGTAATATATATATATATATATATATATAGATGGAGATCTTTACCGAAACTAAAACTTACACGCACGTGAATGCTATTTGTTTATGCATTTATATACACATAATGTATTTGCGTGCTGATGCGGGTTTTAGACAATCTGTGGCGCACAGCTATTTCTGGAAGAAGCTGTTTCTCTCCAGTGCGTGCCAAGTCCCAAGACCACAGTTGTTGCTCTCACTTGTCACTCTCAATTTGTAAAATATTTGAATCTCACCTCCAACAAAGTTAGGTTTTTTCATCTTAAATACATCAAGAAATCAAAAGCCTAACTACCAACATTGAATACTGGGTTCCAAAAATACCATTTACTTTTCTAACATTTCATATTATTTTTCATCAATTTTTTAGATGCCCATCATAAGATTTCTCATATTTCATAAGTAAAAAGCACATTACTAGGACAAAAAGAAAAAGATACATCATCAATCATCATAAGACAAGGAAAAAGAGGGAAAAAGATGAGATATTTGATGCATTGCAAGTTTCAGAAACCTTGATGAACAGAAGAGAGGTATTAAAAAGACAAACGGGAAGGATCCAAAAAGCATTTAAAATGATTTGCAGGATTAATTATAATGCATTTCTCTACAAAGTCATCATACCATACACATCTTCTCTGCTTCTTTAGCTCCCTTGTATTAGCAGGGAACTCAACAACTAGGCATGTATCAGTTCTAATATTTAAACTACTGAGTTGATTCTAAAAAAATTAAAATAAAAATAAAAATTTATGGATCTAAGAATCAAGATATGTAATATCTGTATAACCCGTTTGCAGTTTGGCAATTCCTGCAAGGTTCACTTTTGCGAGAACCCAGATGGCAACACAAGCAAACAGGTTGTGTCACCATGGATGTGCCAAACAAGAAAGGAACTTTCTGGAGCTTCGACTCGGCCGTGTTGTTGTTGTTGTTTTTGGCGGAAGAAGAATGAGTCCGACTCGGTGCCAGACCAACTGAGAGCTCTAGGTTAATCTCTTCCTGATATTCATGACTCCCCCCCTTGTGTTGTTCTTCATCAGTGGTCATCCCACTGCTACTGCAGATTGCTTCTTCCACAGACTCCGTTTTGGGTTTTGGTTGGAACTCATCGAACTTGAGATCCAGAGTAACGCTATTTGGGTTTAATGAGATTCTGGGTGGGTGGGGAGAGGATGATGAGTTCTTGAAATCCAACTGAGTTGAAACGGGCGGGGGGTTTGATTCGTTGAGTAGACGGTGAGTTTGTGGGTCAATCCCTCGGCTGATTAGCTTCCGCTTTATGTGGGTGTTCCAGTAATTCTTTATCTCATTATCAGTTCTTCCAGGTAATCTTCCCGCAATCAAAGACCATCTGAATTAAAAAAAAAACAAAAAAAAAAAAAAAAAGCCCAACATTTAACTCAAAACCCAGAAGAATTTAACTATTTATCTCATCCAAAAGGACTGATATACCCAATCAACCAAACAGAGAAATCAAGAGAGTATCAGAGAGTTGAAACTCACTTGTTTCCTAGCAAACTATGAAGCTTGATGATAAGTTCATCTTCTTCCTCGGTGAAATTCCCTCTCTTGAGATCAGGGCGAAGGTAATTTATCCATCGCAGTCTACAACTCTTGCCACATCTAAGCAATCCTGAAACAGGACAATAAAACAACCGCATGTGTGCAAATCAACCAGATGCACATAAAAATAGAAAAAAAATAGAGATTTACAAGCGGGTAGTACA